TGTACCATGTTCGACCTTTTCCGGGACTCATTTTTAGCTTTTTTCCGATAATTGAAAGTGAAATTTCGGAACAAGCGAGCCGGCAAGTAGTAACAGAAGAACCAAAGAAAGGTTTGTAAACATACCAGGCGCCGTTATTTACGTTATGTGTATAAAAAAGCTCTTTAGAGTCACAACTCTCATTCCCTAATTCGGCTATTGTATCATCGTTTTTTAAGATGTTCGCCGAGTGCTCCTTTGAGCGGTTGCTTATTTACATGTTTGTTCGTCTTTGAACCAGTATTGTTTGCTTGTTTGTGATTCAAACGTCTCGCTCACCTCAAATTCCGTGCCCGGAATGATTTTTAATTTACATCACTCATTTTCGCTTAACTTTCTTGCTATAATACTGATAGACTTTTCGATACTGAGCTGGTTGAATACGACCTTTTTCATTCGAGATGTTGCCACAGTGTCAGCACGCTGAGCGATCACGTAACTGTGTTATTATATATTATAGCAGGAAAATCATAATACAGCTGCCAACTTTGTTGGACGATAGTCAGCGATAATGGTGTGTTGCTGCTCAGCAACTTCGCTAGAAACTGAAAAAACAAAAAAAAAAACAAAAAAAAAAACAAAAAAAACAGCTATCTCTTTCCATTTTAGGTTACTGTAGTTACATAGTCTAGACAAAATTTTAATTTTTTTATTTTTTAGTTCGAGTAAGCATCCAAGTTAAATTTGTCGAAAGAAAAAATATAATTTCTCCAAAGAACGCGGGAGTGTTTTAAGTCAGCTGGAACCGAATAGCGAAAGGTGTAATAATCCAGAGTGTTGACGTTTTTTATCTTTTACAAGGCTTTTACGAAATTCGAAATATTTCAGTTTGTTCAACTTCCAATTGAAATTATCGGGAACCAAAAGGAATATCGAAAAGGCCTCACGACCTTTGTTAGCGTTTTTTTTTTTTTGTCTGCTGGGTGACACTGTCTCTCAGTTTGGATGTCTGCGTTAACGCGGAGGCTGTTAATTGACTTAAATTGACACCGTCAGTTTTGTCTTTAAATTGCTTGCGCGTGCTTATCAAAACAAAACTGTTCAAACTTTGTTATATTCAGAACCCATACTTTAAAGTGGTACGTAGTTCGCTATGTTGTTTTCTTTCTTTAAGTAGCGCGCATAGGACGATTTTTCTGGAAGGCATTCTATTTTGTTGTCAGTAACCCGCTTAAGTGGTACGTTTTGGAACTGTCAAGTTGGATTCTTTAGTGAATGTTTAAAGATCAACTCTAAAATAAGTAAACTTTACCATTCAAAAAACCAAATGTGATCTTTACTGACCCTAACAAATCTTATTCTCTTGAAAAAGACGAAGAACAATATCTAGGGCACCTGCAGGCGCTGGGTGGTGTTTCATTAGTTTTCACACAAAGCAGTCGTGTGTGATCAGTGTCTTTTTCAGAGAAGTTGATATCACGAAGATTATGACCTGATTATGATCAGTTTGCGTACAGCGAACTTAGAGTGATTTTCGCTGATGTTTCTGAAATCGTATGAAACTTACATCTAATAAAGGCTAAGAAGAATTTGTATATTGTGACATTAAAAGCGCGTGTAAATGCAACGAAGTTCACTGAAATGAACTTGGCGTCCTTTCTTTGGTAAAAGCACAAAGAATGTCGACGTGACCTTTAAAACGAGTTTCGTTCTTATGAGCACAATTCGTACTCAAATTTGATGAGACTTATATGATATTATATCATATGAGAGCCTTGATCTTGAAGTTTATTTTTTTTGGTTTTTTTGGTTTTGATGTTGTGAAATTAAGAGTGCGCTCAAAACTAACGGCGAAATTTGGCAGAAAGAAAGTTGGCGTCCTCTAGGAGTCTCTAAAGAACAAACGGATCAAACTTTGAAGTTATTGGAATAATAAGTTGTTTGTCAGCGATAATCCCTCCGACGGCCGCATTCGTTGACTTATTCCATTAATATCGTTGCAGAACGAAGTATGGTCGTTGAAAGCTCTTTCTCTGGATTTCTGAAAACTCTTTAAGACTTTTTGATTGAGGAGCACACCCCTAGGTACTTCCCGAAACGCCGAACGAAATTTCCCTAATTCTGTGGCGACGATGGATAAGTTAATTGCCCTTAATTGAATTGGCTTCAAAATACTTTCGTATGGTTAAATAACTTGACTGTATAATGAAAACTGTGTCTTGTAGAGCCCAGAAATTGAGAAGTAATATGTCAAAGACAGGGGCGAGTTCTTCATCACGGGTTCCAAACATCGAGAAACATGGTGATGTTTGGCGTTTGGAACCGCGATTAAACACAAAGCTGGAGTTTTTGATATGTCTTCTCAAATGAAAGAATAAATTATTAAACAGTGATATGTTTTCTTAAATCAAACAAAGATAAATTATGCATTGTTACATTTTTGGCCTTCACTGATGGAACGTGTTTACATGTTATTACATCTTAGCTTTCATTTGATGTAAGTTTCATGCGGTTTCATCTGGTTTCCCTGTACGTAGACCGATCAGTCTTCGTGATATCACGAAGAACGTTAGCCATTAAAATGGTTAACGTTCCATAATTGAGACGCTACACAAAAAGTTTGAGTTCCTTTCGCCGCATTTGTTCGCACCTCTAATTTTGCAACAAACTACTACAAGGTATATCAGCATCAAACCATCGCCAAACTACTACAATTAAGCTTTCGTTTGATTTTACTTTCATAGAAGAGGCTAAACATAACGCATGAGTCAAATCGCCATCGGTGACAATTTAACTCTCAGTGGTGGAGAGTTTGGTGCGAGTTTGTTGGAGGTGGCGAGTTTGTTGCAGTTGCGAATCGACCGTAAACTGTTTTGTTTCATTAGCCATGTAGCTCACGGATATGACTAACACCTTCATTTCCACACCTCAGCAAGTGCTTGGATGTGAAGTTTGAAATTTTTAAAAAGGGCTTAATACGGTGCTCTCCTAAGGAGAAAAAAAAGACAGGCGGTACAGCATAGACCGCACATTATAACCCACGTACTGTTTACACTGTTCTTAGTTATTTTTGTAAGGAAATGCTAGGCAAGATTGGCAAGATTTCGGTATAACCCTGACTTCATTTTGCATACATATTCCTTGATGAATGGAATAAACAATCAAAATAGTTGGGGATTAAGTATTAGTAATTGAGTCGATAACGTAAATTTGCCAACTTAAAGAGTTTTAAAGATGATGTTTCGAGGGCTACCCCTCGTCAGAGCGAATGGAGGAATTATGGGTTGTATATGTGTTTAAATGCAGAAATGAGTACAGTTGAAACCGTTTCAAGTGGCTGTGTTCTAAGCGGTCTCCCCTTATTATGAGGTGTTTTTTAAAGTTCAGTATTGTAATTTTCACCTCTATTAAACGGTCGTGGTCACCCGCAACTGAGTCCCATCGGCCTGTATTGTCTTTCACCAGTCACAAACGGTCACTGTTTCAAACGGAACTGTCTCAAATATGACTAAGAATAATCTCTAAATTAAATATTGAAGTGTCCTCAATACATTGCAGGTTTTCTCTCTTCCTAGTACTGTTAGGACAAAGTGGTGTTTTTTTTATCGTGTCTGACCTCTTCTCTGTTGAAGCTGTATTCAGCAGTCAACCTGTCATTCTGCCATTCTATGTAAGTGACAGGTTCGACTGTAGCTCAGAAACCTCTCCAGTTACCTTTGGCTGACAAACTTAATATTTTATTCGCTTTGACTGACGAAATCTACCGTGCTGTAACAAACATTGACTTCCTCTGTTGATATGAATAAGCTTTGAAAAGGAGCTAACATTTCATTTCCTTAACGTTTTATACAGAAATTAAATTTAAGTAATTTTATGTCATGGAGGGCTGGGTATCATGATTGCTTTAGCATTTAATCGTGGTCAGCAAAACATTTAAAATACAGAGAAAGAAAATCGAAGCCGTATATTTTGAACACATAGTAACAACAATAATTTTCTTGATGGCAGTGCATTGATGACGGAACTCTTCCAGTTTGGAGCACAAGACCTGCACCAAGCCTGGCTATTAACTACTGGAGGCTTAAAGTAGGTCACATGATGGAGTGAGCGGACAACAAGTTGATTTTAGTGCTAATGATTCAAAAGTAAAAAAGAGAAAACAATGGAATTAGTATCAAGTGGTATCTAATTCTGTGGTACCTATTTCACTCTGTTTCACGTAATGTAGTAACTATACTTAAGTTCAACCGCACAGCGTTAATTTCATTTCATATATTTCATTCTTAGGAAGATGCAGTCATGCGCGATGTAATCTTAGCGATACGAGCCGATGAAGCTCATCACAGAGTTGTAAACCACACTCTGAGCTCGATTCATCTCAATGAAAAGAATCCATTCTCTCCAGGCCAAAAGAAGCTATGACACAACAAACTATACATCACAAGAATGGGTCCGACCTGTTGGAGAGAGGATTTAATTTAATGACTTAAACATTTGATTAGTGTTTTTCATAGCTAGGGTAATTTCTGAGAAAGGATTATCGAAGGTGAAAGTTAAAAGTTTCCCAAACAAAAGAAGTTAAGGATACTCTGCTCTGTGAACCTTGCCGGCTCGATTCCTTTCTTGTTCCTAGAGTCCTCACATGTAACGGTAAGTGATAACGAGTGGCTCTGGGAACGAGAATGCCTTGATTCTCATGTGGCCTTTGAAGGGCATACGCAGTGATAACCATGGTTTAGAGATCTATCGTGATTCCTATGTCACTTCTACCGCATCTTCTGTTGTTTTCCACCATGCTGCTCTTGTGCGGCCACTCTAAGGTTACATCTTCATTAATTTTTACCATAAATTTTTCTTTTTTTCACTTGAGTGGGTTCCCTTCACTTCCTCAGTCACGCACGTTTCATTCATTTCTTACGATGCTTCTTCCCGACATGGTTTGATGCTACTCTAGTTTAAGGATTTAATTTATGTAACCGAGAAGTTACAATTCATAGACCCAACGTTTCGACACTCCTGTTGAGTACCTTCATCAGAAGTGATCTAATCGCCGAGTGCTCCTTTGAGCGGTTGCTTATTTACATGTTTGTACGTCTTTGAACCAGTGTTGTTTGCTTGGTTGTGATTCAAACGTCTCGCTCACCTCCAATTCCGTGCCCGGAATGATTTGTGATTTACATCACTCATTTTCGCTTAACTTTCTTGCCATAATACTGATAGACTTTTCGATACTGAGCTGGTTGAATACGACCTTTTTCATTCGAGATGTTGCCACAGTGTCAGCGCGCTGAGCGATCACGTAACTGTGTTATTATAGCAGGAAAATCACAATACAGCTGCCAACTTTGTTGGACGATAGTCAGCGATAATGGTGTGTTGCTGCTCAGTAACTTCGCTAGAAACTGAAAAAACAAAAAACAAAACAAAAACAAACAAAAAAAAAATCTATTTCCATTTTAGGTTACTGTTAACATAGTCTAGTCAAAATTTTAATTTTTTTTTTTTATTTTTTAGTTCGAGTAAGCATCCAAGTTAAATTTGTCAAAAGAAAAAATATAATTTCTCCAAAGAACGCGGGAGTGTTTTAAGTCAGCTGGAACCGAATAGCGAAAGGTGTAATAATCCAGAGTGTTGACGTTTTTTATCTTTTACGAGGCTTTTACGAAATTCGAAACATTTCAGTTTGTTCAACTTCCAATTGAAATTATTGGGAACCAAAAGGAATATCGAAAAGGCCTCACGACCTTTGTTAGCGTTTTTTTTTTTTTTTGTCTGCTGGGTGACACTGTCACTCAGTTTGGATGTCTGCGTTAACGCGGAGGCTGTTAATTGACTTAAATTGACACCGTCAGTTTTGTCTTTAAATTGCTTGCGCGTGCTTATCAAAACAAAACTGTTCAAACTTTGTTATATTCAGAACCCATACTTTAAAGTGATACGTAGTTCGCTATGTTGTTTTCTTTCTTTAAGTAGCGCGCATAGGACGATTTTTCTGGAAGGCATTCTATTTTGTTGTCAGTAACCCGCTTAAGTGGTACGTTTTGGAACTGTCAAGTTGGATTCTAGAAGCACGTGAGGATTCTTAATAAAGATAAAATGTTTTCCCATAGAAAATAGATTTTTTCAAAGAGAAATATGGAAAATGTCAGACTGCCGGACGCTTAGTTATTCGAAGACCGTGTCCAATAGTGTCCATTGAAAATCTCATCAGTGTCACGATTGGATCTCTTCGTACTCTGTGTACAGGGTCGGCGAAACGGACGACGTTCGAATTTTTTAACTTTGTAGCAGCGCTTGAGGATTGTAAATGAAGGTAGAATATGTTCCTAGGAAAAATGGGTACATCTCAAAGAGAAATATAGAGTTATTTGAGGACCGTGTCCAGCCGTGTCACTCAAAAGTTTCTAAGTGTCAAGCGCGGGAAACTTCAACTGACCCTGGGTCCTATTTAACAACGGTGGCACACTTCAATTCAGAAAAAATTGATGTATGAATGAAAATGTGGTGGATCAACAGTTACACCTTCTTCGGAATGCTCGCAAGGATTTTCGTGTTCCTCTTTAGCAACAACCTATCCATAAGCATTTACTGCCTCAGAATCTACTAAATCAATGGATTCATCTGATTCTATACCGGATTAGAACGTATAGAACTGTTTTAAACAGAATTATTGTGACAAGCTCATCAAACTCATCGGAGATAACGCAGAAGCTATTTTGAGACAACGTGACTAGGTAAAAATAACTGAGCAATCATAGGCGCTATTTAAACAAAAGCGGTGGTTGAAACAAAAACAAACGACGCGTTGCATCAAGTTTGGAAATGGGCCTTTTGCCAGGCTTCCACATAAAGACACTGGTGCATATCAGCTCCGCCCACGCACAACAGAGCTAGGTAGAAATTGAGAGGCAAGTTCAGATAACAAGTTTGAAAATACTATATTCTGATCGGAATAGGTTCGTTACCTGAAGAACCAGGTGGTATACCTCTGCCAGTCGTAGTGAGGATAGCCACAAAATCCAACCCCCTTCCCCTCCGCCTCAGGAGTTTGTCTAATAAAACCACAGTGACTGCTCAGATCAGATTTCTGATTTAAGTTACGCATCAAACGCTAGCAGGCATTTTAAATCAATGGCCCTGATTAAAAAAAAATGAAGAAAGATAATCAACCAGAGGACAGGAAGTAATTAAAACGGTTACTTGATTAAAACGGTTACTTGATAAAGAGCAGAGGAACGTGATACGGAACGTGAAGGACTTATTCCGCATTCCTTATTGCAGTAAGTAAATTCAAATTTCACCAAACAAGCGCGATAAGAAATAACATTTTTGTTTGTGGTGAGACGTAAAGAAAATAAATAAAACTTGATTGTTTTCTCGGAGAGATTGTTAATTTGCAATTAGCTTTTTCTTGTTTGATTGTGGCGTAAAAGATTTCCCGTATGTGTTGGTGTATTTAGGATTAATTAATAATATTGAATGTGCGGCGACAGTAGCAGTTGGGTACCATCTCAAAGGTGTTTCACTCACATAAACAACTTTCCAGCAGACTTAATTGAACCCATTTAATATCAAAAAGACCGTTGAAATTACATCAAAAAGTAGCGAAAAACTTGATAAGTTGAGATCAGATAATAAAAACATAAAAAAGCCAACGACGAATTTCCTTTTCTACTTTCTTGTTTTGAAACCTGTAAGGTTTTTATACACATTTAAAATTAGAAAACTTCACTACGAAAAAAAAAACTACGTTTATCAACGTGCCAGGGTTCCTTCTTCTTTACCAGCCTACTTCAATAGTGCCAGACCCAAGGCAGAGGTAACGGTCATCAGGATCACACTGAAAGAAAATGAAGAGCCCGCGTTACAGTAGTCGGAGTCACAGCACCCGACTGCGCATTTTCCCTCTTTGGTGTCGTCACAAGCCTTTTCTGCAGCTGTACACGCGGCGCTACTGCTGCAAGAGTTAGCCACTACAGTTACGTCGTCTTTTTTGCCCCAGATCCTCATGCATTTATCAGTTGGGCAGTCTACCGATTTGCTAGCCTTATCTGCTTCCAGTTTGCTCTTGCTACAGGCCTCTTCGGTTCCCGTACAAACGTAGCACTTGAGGCTGTAAGCTGAAATAAAGGAAATTATGAAAGTAAAATTTCAGTTTATTACATTTCCGCACGCCTTTTTTTCCATATATATTTCGAAGTTTTTTCACTTTCCTTACGTCGAAGCTTGTCAAATTCATTTAAGTCTAGTGTTCGCGCGCACGGGAAAACTATAGAGTGTCCATTGTGCATTTAGAAATAAACTAGCGTAATTTATGCGATATATTCGGAATAAGATAAATTTTTCTAATCTCTGAGAGTGGTGGATTAATTTTTCTCATCTCTTCTTTAAGAGTGGTGGAATACAATATCAGTTACATAGATAATCCTAATTAATTGATGATATTGCTAGCTACAAAAGTGTTCCCTTACGAGAGCTTCTATTATTGTGAAAGCGAAAGTACACCAAGGACTTGTGATATTCAAGCGATGAAGTATTCTGTTTGTTGAAAGGAGAGACTCGATTTGTGCAAAGTTGTCTGTATGTCACGATTTCCTCGTACTCGAACCGAAGAGGATTCAGAAGTATCGATGGATGCGTTTTTGGTGCGGTCAAGGTTCTGCACAAACTTCATGCCTTCTTTATGACGAGAGTAAGCAAACATGACAAAAACAGGCAAATGTTCCTTCTCAAACGAAATAGCACGTTTCATTTGTTTCCCATTCTGCATGAACAATGAAAATCTAAATAAGGCTTCGAAACGCAATTTGACCAAACAGAACAAATCAAAGCTACAATAGAAAGGATTTCCTGGGCTTAGCAGGATTTCCGCGAAGATTCCTTAACACCGTGACTTAATAAAAGCTGGCATTGAAACACTACAACAAGTATGGATAACTTGAGAAACGAAACCGGAAAAAACTCCACACATTAACATCACAAGCAGACGGGGAGGTTGACACTCAGCTGAACGTTACACACACAAAAAAACGCACACAGCTCAGTCAAATAGTTAACTTGTGCCTCGGCAAAGGGAAAGAAGGATGAGCCCGAGTGGACGTCACGGAAGGCCAGTGGCTCGAAGAAGCAAAATCATTTGATTTCAGTTTCGACGTGGCCGCCAGAACCCAGAAAAACGATCCGACGCCTTTCCTTCCGTGCGTAGATGAGTGTTAACTATGAACACAAGCGCGCTGGAACGAACCCTTAGCTTAAGGAAGAATCAATAACTCGAGAAACGAAACCGGAATAAACTCCATACATGAACATCACATGCAGACAGGGAGGTTGGCACTCAGCTGAACGTTACTTACAAAAAACGCACACAGTTCAACCAGAGAGTCAACTTGTGCTTTGGCAAAGGGAAGGAAGGATGAGCTCGAATGGACGTCACGGAAATCTAGTGGCTCGAGGGAGCAAAATCATTTGATTTCAGTTTCAACGTGGCCACCTTAAACCCATTCTACATTCGTATGTACAACGAAAAACAACCCGACGCCTTTCTTTCTGTGCGTAGATGAGTTTTAACTATGAACACGTGGCAAGCGCGCTGAAACGAACTCGTAGCTTGAAAGCGATAGAGGGGTATGTCGACAGGAGAGATTGCTCGGACGGATCAGGTGGCGTCGCTGCTCTCTTATTTCACGGTTGAACTTCACAATAACAAACCGAATAAACTTACCAGTTGCAAGAACTGCACAGAAGACAAAGATGCTCAGCACAAGACCCTTCATTCTGCGTACCTCAGTGACTTTATGAACGTTGCAGCTTCCTCTGACAAAACCAGCGCCCTCTACAGACGCCGTGTAATGGGGCGTTTATATAACTGGGCTCAACCAATAAGATTACTAATTTAAAATAGCGAGCCAATCAGGAAACTCCACTTCATGCGCCTTGTTATCGGCATTAAAAGGGATGACGTCACTGCTAGTACTCGCAAGAATGCGAAAAAGAAACCGCATGTTGTTTGAAGACGGAAAATCTGAAGTGTCTTATGCTCTGATCAAGATTATTGCGTCAATACAGGGCGGAAACAAAACAGTTGTTGCCAAAATTCTCTATCGTTCGTGCACTGTATAATGTGCAGTGGAACGTACGTGCAGGCAGATCACTAATTCAGGTAGCGCTCATGATGTTGAGGAACTTGAATTTCCGTTCTAGCGTTTTTTTATGGATCGTATCGAGAAAAGCCTATCAGTAATTCCTTATGTACCAGCCAATCAGCAGTTCGCCGCTTTTGCATGAAACTAACACGTGCTCTGCAGCTTTCCACAGACAGCTTTCCCTCTGGCGTTGACTCAAAGGAGATTTATATAACACACATAGTGTGGTCTACCTGTGGTTACATGCGGCTGAGTTTTGCATCCTTTTGTTCATCTTTGAGGAGTATCTCTTCGAGGCCGAAAGGGTGCATTTATCTCAGCGTCCGATTTACCATTCAATTGATGGGATTACTTCGATTTATAGGGTCAAAAAATATCGATTGTTACCTTGAAGCGTGGAGATGAAATGAATTGAAAATGTATTTGACAAAGAATCTTTCAATGAAAGAAATAGCAACCTTGCACATCAGTGCTATGGAGAACATATCCTCTCAAGTCTCTCAACCTACTTCATCGTGTTTTCGTTGATCTTTTAGGATTATCTATTCGAGGCCCATTGGGTAGAGTTAATGTCATCGTCAAATTTGCCATTCGATCCATGGGATTACTATGTCTCATGAGCTCAAAAACATATTGATATGTTGCTTAATACAATGGAGATGAAATGGAATGAAAGTGTAGTTGACAAAGACAATTTTTCAATAGAACTAGTAACCGGAAAAAATGCTAAGGAGAAGATTTTGTCTCAAGTTACTCAACTTACTGCCGGCAAACTCGGCAACACTTATCATCACAGAAAAGACACACGACTAGGCCTAACTCTAAGGGATTTTACATTTTGTCAGATATTGTGATATTCAACATTAAACAAATTAAAATGAATGTTAAAATCCCTGTAGATTGGTGCATTGTCTATGCCCTCTTTCTGTATTTCTAGATTGTGTTCCAGTTCGCCTGTGTCACTGATAGGTAAGGGCGCTAACTTCAGAACGTATTCCACGACGGTAAGACTTTCCTTTAAAGAGATTCTTTTCCCAGTATTTCTTTTGGAATGAACAACTCTTCGCTACTGTAGGAAATCTCATAGCAACAAACTGATTGCTTAATGAATGAAATGAGGCTTGTCAAGTATAACCCGGTCGTTGTATGCTAATGAGAAGAACAATTCAGAACAAATGACTAAATGTTCACAATTCGAATAAACTGTGAACATTTATTCGGTCACTAAAAAATGCAGACTGCAGACCGGGTACACACACTGATTTTCACATTTTAATATAGTAGATGAGAGAAAAGTAAACAAACTAATCAGTATGTGTACACCCCTGACGCGGAAAATATATCAAGTCGAAAGAACAGTATTTTCAGTATTTTCAAGATCTCGGTCACAGTTTTTCACCATACGGACCTCCCAGCCGGCAAATAACATATATGTATTTTTGTCAACGAAATGAACAGATATCGGTGAAAATGGTGAAGAGTACGGACCACGTGCAAAGCTGTCAAATATTGCGCGTGTTAATCATTGACATCTCGCGTGCGAAGACTGTATGAAGGCTTTAAATTCTGATATGAACGTTTGTGGCTGCTTTTTTTAAAAAGCGAATTCAATAGCCGCTTTTTAAACGACAAAATCAGCAAAAAGGCGAGTATAATCAACAGCACTACACGCATGAGTGCACCTTCAGGACCTTTATACTCCACATTCCGATGCATTGAATCACTCGTGTATGCTCAAACTGGTCACGAGGATAGGAATAAAAGTTCAACAACATATCTATCTTTATGAAGGCTCTGAGTTTGAAGGAGAAATGTCACCACCACACACGATTTTAGACCCCTGGTGCCTCCCGTTTGCGCTTGGTGTTCGAGCTAAAATACCCCTATAGTCCAACGACAGATGAATCATTCTACAGTTATTGTTCAAATTCTCCAATCTTTACCCTACTCCTGCAACATAGGACTCCATTACTTCTCTTAAACTTCTTTATTTCTCATTCCAGTCACGGTGATGAATTTGTATTATTAGAAATTGTCGAAATTATTTCACGCGACTTTGTTTTCCTGTTTACCAACAAAAGAATTGCGAAACATACTAAGGCCAATCACCGCTGGTAGGGTGCCAAGGACACAACATTACGTGCGGGAATGCGGACCTAACATGAAGTGCCAGAATGTTACGATAAGAACTTTTACCTGAAAAAAAAAAAATGCACAACGAAGTACATTCAAACAAAGAACGTCAAAAGAAAATATAAATGCATGCCCTACTCAGATATTTAATTATTATATATTTTTCCACATTTGTTTTTGTCTATTTTGTACACACTCAACTCGATATACACATATTGTCAAGTAAAATTAAGAGGATATCGAACTAATATCATCAGTTTTCCCTGCTGCTTGAAGTTCGGCTGGCTACTACTGTGAGTAAAGAAGTTTCGTAAGACACTAACGTGCGGTGAGAGATTATAAAATCATGTGTAGAAAAAACCAGGAAAGATTTATTACTCGACGTTTCGGGGTCATCGTGACTCCATTATCAAGAGACTAGTTTAAAAACATGCAAATAAGGAAAGGTACAAGAATAGCATAAATTAGAATGAACGGCTTAAACAAACACCTTGGCGCGGATGGAATCCGTTTGCACGTTCAGTGTTGGCTTACGCATGCGAATATACAACATTTCATTAACAAGGCAATCAAATTTGCCGTTACATTTCGCGATGACGTTGAATTGCTCGATCAAGCGTTCAGGCATTTCACTATTGTGCTGGAGGTGGTAGTGTTTGTAGATAGAAGATGATTTCCTTGTGTGCCCTTCTACGCGCTCGTGTAAGTGACCACGAGTATAGCCCACATACCCTGCATCACACAGGTTACATTTAAATTCATAAACGATACATTGTTGGTTAACAATAGGGGGCTTAATTTCGTGTTGCTTAAGCTGTTGATCGAGCTTAGGGCTAACGAACACTGGTTGGACAGTCACGCTTAACTTCGAGCTTAGACTGTTCAGTTGTTGTTTAACATGATTAGCTGACGACTGGTCCTTGAAGGGTAACACTAATCTCACAATCTCCGATGGTACGTCTGGTGATGGACAGGGCTCTGCAGATGAAATCCTTCTCTCAACGAACCGCTTGATTGTAGTTTCAACCAGTGGCTTTGGGTATTTCAAGTTATGAAAAACCCCTCTAAGGCGGTCACATTCCTCGGAGAAGAAAGACCAGTTAGAAGATAATCGATAAGCGCGATCCACCATGGTGTTAACTAGGCTGCGCTTGTACTTAATGTCAACATGACTCTGGAAATGCAGAAGGAGACCCGTGTTGGTTCTTTTGATGTAGACCTTGCTCTCAATCTTTGGTGCACGGTTAAGCAGTTCAGTTCCTAGAAAGGGAAGGGATCCTTCCCGTTCGACTTCCATGGTAAACTGGAGGGAGGGATGGGTAGAGTTAAGGGTGTCTAGAAACTGGCCAGCGGTCACCCTATCAGGCATTACGGTCAGGGTGTCATCGACGTACCTCCGGTAATAGCGCGGAAGTTGACCGTGTTGTTCGAGGTTTTCCTCAATCGAGCACATGAAGACGTTAGCCAGCAACGGTCCAAGGGGAGAACCCATAGCGACTCCATCTGTCTGCTCATATAAAGCACCGTCAAACTGGAAAAGCTGGTTTTTCGTAGCTGCTCGGAGGAGGTCGATTAGGTCCGCTTTAGAGATGTTCAAGCTGTGCGTCTCGTTGAACCAATCCTGGGCAAAGGCTTTTTCAGCTAAGATCTGTATTGTTTCCTCCAATGGTACATTTGTAAACAATGAGGTGACGTCATAGGAAACTAAAATTTCGCCGTTCTTGATCTCGAAGCCTCGTACTACATCAGCAAAGCGGAATGTGTCTGTCACTGTATATTGGTTGCACGACAGGGGTTTCAATTTGTCGTCAAGCCATTTCGCTAGCGAGTAATTGTAGGTGTTAGTAGCAGAGAGTATTGGCCGCACGACCAACTGTTCTTTATGTGTCTTCGGCAAGCCATACAAGTGTGCGAGTCTGGAACCTTTCGGGCGGAGAGCGTCAGCAATGGATTTCGGTAGAATCTTTCGAACGAGAGTTTCCAACTCCCTTTCTTTCTGGGAAAGAAAAATTGAAAAATTGAACTTTCTAGGAACTGAACTGCTTAACCGTGCACCAAAGATTGAGAGCAAGGTCTACATCAAAAGAACCAACACGGGTCTCCTTCTGCATTTCCAGAGTCATGTTGACATTAAGTACAAGCGCAGCCTAGTTAACACCATGGTGGATCGCGCTTATCGATTATCTTCTAACTGGTCTTTCTTCTCCGAGGAATGTGACCGCCTTAGAGGGGTTTTTCATAACTTGAAATACCCAAAGCCACTGGTTGAAACTACAATCAAGCGGTTCGTTGAGAGAAGGATTTCATCTGCAGAGCCCTGTCCATCACCAGACGTACCATCGGAGATTGTGAGATTAGTGTTACCCTTCAAGGACCAGTCGTCAGCTAATCATGTTAAACAACAACTGAACAGTCTAAGCTCGAAGTTAAGCGTGACTGTCCAACCAGTGTTCGTTAGCCCTAAGCTCGATCAACAGCTTAAGCAACACGAAATTAAGCCCCCTATTGTTAACCAACAATGTATCGTTTATGAATTTAAATGTAACCTGTGTGATGCAGGGTATGTGGGCTATACTCGTGGTCACTTACACGAGCGCGTAGAAGGGCACACAAGGAAATCATCTTCTATCTACAAACACTACCACCTCCAGCACAATAGTGAAATGCCTGAACGCTTGATCGAGCAATTCAACGTCATCGCGAAATGTAACGGCAAATTTGATTGCCTTGTTAATGAAATGTTGTA